GCGCTCTGGTATCCAAAGTCGCAAAAGGTCGCCGAATTTTTCATTTCACTGATTTTCATAAAACTTATATTACTGTCAGAGCAAAAATCAGATTGGACAAATTTGGACATTTTACTTACACTTATTTTAATTTTTCTACATAGTAAGTTTATCTACAATCTATGATATTTCCATATAAATAATATATTTTAGCTCATTTGTGGCACAGTGCAGCGGCCGGGCCGTAGTTTGGTGACCCCTGACACAGAGTATTAAATACAAATGATAATTTTTATTTTAAGTATCCGTTAAAATAGAGAAAACTATATTAAACAACCAAGAGAAACTTTCTTGATATTAATTAATTATACACTAAGAAATAATATTTAATTTTTCAAATATCAGACAACAAAATTATGCTCAGAATATTCCTACTCTTCCTTCGACTCGCAATATGCGGGTCGCAGGTTCGAATCCCCTCACCGAACATGCTCGCCCTCTCAGGCGTGGAGTCGTTATAATAGGACGGTCAATCTCACTTTTCATTGGTAAAGGAGTAGCCCAGGAGTTAGCGGCCTTCCCTCTAGTTTATCACTCCAAAATTAGTGTAAAGCCAACGAAAAATTAATTTAAAAACAGCCTAAATAGTAAATCATAAATAAATTCAAACGAAGCTAACTGCTTCACAGTTAACAGAAATTTTCTGGTTAATTAATGTTGTTTTATAAACATTTTAGGTTTGTTTCGAACAAAACATTACACCATATAAATGTAGTTATAACGGCTGTTGGTTGTTCCACAGAAAAACATTATACTGTTATAACGGATGTTGGTTGTTCCACAGGAAAATATTGTACAGTTATAACTGTTGTTGGTTGTTCCACACCAAAATATTGTACTTATAATGTATGGCTGTTGGTTTTTCCACTGATAAACAATGTACTAGTTACGATTGTTAAATCTTTTAGTTATTTACCAACTAAACTAAACAGTAGTTTTGGTATATCCTGAGGAACTTCTGAAAAATATGCAATTATTTTCAACAGCACATAATCTAAATTGAATAAATACTTACAAGTTTAATTCTTCTTTTATCTTTTGTGCATCAAAAATAAAATCCTATCAATTTTGTCTTTCTTCATTTTTTATCTTTGCAACCGGATTTCTTATATTTTTAGGCTAAGAATAATATTTATATTTGGACCATCGAGGATAAAGAACATCTTCGTACAAAATGTATTGGGTTTAACGTTGTTTTACTTCCAATTAATTACTTTCAAACCAGCATTATCTTCATGAGTTGTACTAAAAACATCTTTTAGTTGGTGCCATTCCTTCCTTTACGTTTTATGTAGACAAACATTAATACAGGAAGGTTTACGTATTGAGAACGAATAAAAAGTTGTTATTTGGTAGATCTCCCATTAGTTTAATGATTTGGTCTTCGGAGGGTTAGTCTTGATCAGAAGACTAATGAAGTAGGATCACGGTGATTCTCGTGATATCGAGAAATAAGGACATTAAACACAACCAAAACAGCAAAGCCTAAACATCATTTCGTGCATTGCCCCTAAATTACTGAAACATGCTTGGCGAGCATCTAAAAGAAAACATTATGAAAATAACAATATAGTATGGGCGAAAACCGCCCATGCTATTGATGATTTTAAAACTTTTTGGGGGGAGGTGGACTTAGCCAAAGGGTCAATATTGGGTTTGACAAGGCTCGATGGATGAATATACTATCAAAAAAATTACAGTAAGTTGATTTTAAGTTCTATAATTAGTATGCTTATTAACGGTAAATTTCCTAGACTTCCAAACACTATCACACCAGTAAGATTATCTACTGTTAAAGTTATATTTTTAATTTTATTTTTCACTCGTTCTGGGCAAAATCTGAAGGTTGTATAGCTGTAAAGTTTAAATTCGTAAGGAATTTTGTTCCAAGTTTCTTTATTGTTAAGCGAAAAGATGCACAATGAGCTATCTGTGGCTAGGGTGCTCGACAAGCAATGTTCGGGGTCGCATGATTGAAACCCATCGCCGGATATGCACACTTTCTCAACTTGGGGACATTAAAGAGCACTGATGGCATAAAGTATCTCAAGAGTTGGTGGCTCTAGTCTAGCACCTCAACATAAGGGATGCCTAGTACAGATACCTCTCGAGTAGCTTTGCTTGAAAACAAGAAACCATTTATTAAGGTAATGTCCCCAGAGAAGTTAAAAAAATAAAGTTGTTGTCCTCTTCAAACTGCAAATATTTTTGCAGACTGGATTAATCGTTTACTTCAGTAAAGTTGGGTTTCTGTATTTCAAATTTTAAGTGACAAGTAGAATGAACACAGATTAAAAGATGTATGAAATATATTATTCAATACTAGAATATAGTTCTAATATTTACTTTTTAAAAATTGAGAAGTTCCAAGAAATTATACTAAATATAGGAATACTTAACAAAAAATCAATTAATATCAGTTGGTGATTCAATGCATTCTGGTCATTTTGGGTTTTGTTTGTTTTT